TTTAGTGCACTTGAAGGTTGTGCTAATAACAGTGAAACTAGGGGTGGACAATGATGTCTTACTGTATGTCATCTCAGCTGTTCTGTGGGGAAATTATATAGGGGTTAAACAGACAGCAGTGTAAATGTCATTGTTTTTATATTTAGTTAGTAGTAAGTATTATTTTAGTAGCGCATCTTAAATTTTGAAGGATCAGTTTTAAGCTAATATTCAATGTTTGCCAGTATAATGTCCGAAGATATCAATAGTAATCATTTTGAATGTATGATTTTTCAAAATAATAATAATAATATAAAACAATATCAGATTGCTTTTTGCAATATTTAATTACTATTTTATTACAAATATATGAATAGATATGGTGGCTCAGTGGTTAGCAACTTTCGCCTCACAGCAAGAAGGTCGCTGGTTCGAGTCCTTGCTGGACCAGTTGGCATTTCTGTGTGGAGTTTGCATGTTCTCCCTTTGTTGGTGTGGGTTTCCTACGGGTGCACTGGTGTCTCCCAAAGTCCAAAGATGTACAGTAAATTGGATGAACTAAATTGGCTGTATAGTGTATGAGTATGTGTGTGAATGCGAGAGTGTTTGAATGTTTACCGTACTGGGTTATGGCTGGAAATGCATCTGCTGTGTAAAACATATGCTGGAATAGTTGGCAGTTCATTCCTCTGTGGTGACCCCTGATAATGAAGCTGAAGGAAAATGAATGAATATGAATAGAGCATACAGGAACTGTAAGCAGTCTGCTCAAAGCTAAAATAATATGTTTTTTAGTAAACAATAAGTAAATATGTAACTAGTACAATAAAATTAACTAAACAATAATAGTAACTATGTAAATAATAATACTGTTCGAAAGATCACAGTTTAAACCTAATATTCAATGTTTCTATAGTATAATCCAACCAATCTCCTTTACAAAGTAAGCTAAAGAAGATGGATTTAAATATCAATATGAATCATTTTCAATGCATGATTTTTAAAAATAATATTATAAAACAACATCATATTTCTTTGCAATGTTTTTATTTAGAATTTTTGTAAAATATATGAATAGAGCATACAGAAGCAGCTGTAAACATTTCGCATAATGCTAAAATAGCACACTTATTAGTAAACAATAAGTAAAATATGTAACAAGTACAATAAAATAAAAATACTACAGTATTAGGAACTATGTAAAATAATAAAACTAATAATACATTTTGAAGGATCAGTTTCAACCTAATGTTCAATGTTTGCAAGTATATTGTCCAACTAGTCTCCTTTACAAATTGAGCTAAAGAAGATGGATTTAAATATCAATATTAATCATTCTTAGTGAATGATTTTTTAAAATAATAATATAAAACAATATCAGATTTTTTGCAATATTTAATCACTATTTACCTTCAAATATATGAATATAACATGCATGGACTTCTGTTAATATTTTGCATAAAGCTAAAATTATATGTTTATTATGTTTATATGTTATTTTTAATCACTATTGTAGTGCAAATATATGAATATAACATGCAGAGACATCTGTAAACATTCTGCTTAATGCTACAATAATATGTATTGTTTACGTATTAGTAAACAATAAGTAAAGTATGTAACAAGTACAAAAAAAACAATACAATATAAGTAATGATGTTAAATAATAAAACTAATATTACATTTTGAAGGATCACAGTTTTAATATAATATTCAGTGTTTGCAAGTATAATGTCCAGCCAGTCTCCTTAACAAAGTTAGCAAAGGGAGGAAGGATTTAAATATCAATATTGATCATTTTCAAAGCATGGATTTTAAAAATAATATTATAAAACAATATCAGAATTTTTTGCAATGTTTTAAAAACACTATTTTAGTAAAATATATGAATAGAGCATACAGAGACTTTTGTAAACATTTTGCGTAATGCTGAAATAATAAGTTTATTAGGAAACAATAAGTAAAATGTGTAACATACAATAAAATAAAATACACAATTTTAGTAACTATAAAACTAGTTAAATATTTAAACTAATAATACATTTTGAAGGATCACCTTTTCAATCTAATATGTAATGTTTGCATAATGTTTTCATAAAAAGATAAAACAACATCGGATTTCTTTGTACAAATATGTTAATGGAGCATACAGAGACTTCTGTAAACATTGTGCATAATGCTAAAACAACACGTTTATAAGTAAACTAAAGTAAAACTGTGTAACAAGTACAATAAAATAAAAACTGTACAATATTAGTTATTAATTAATACAACTAACAATAATGACAAAAGCACAACAATACTACTAAAACTAAAATAAAGTTCTCAATACTACTAAAACGAAATCTAAAATACTATTAGAGTCACTCTGAAATGACTCAAATAACTTATTAATAAAGTCATCTAGAATGGCAAAGAAAGCGTTCTTGCAGGACTCCCAGAGTTCATCAAGATTCTTTGGATTCATCTTCAATGCCTCCTCCTTCTTCTTACCCCAGACATGCTTAGTAATTTTCATGTCTGGTGACTGGGCTGGCCAATCCTGGTGCACCTTGACCTTCTTTGCTTTCAGGAACTTTGATGTGGAAGCTGAAGTGTGAGGAGGAGCGCTATCCTGCTGAAGAATTTGCCTGAATTCTCTTGTGGTTTGTAATTTAATATTCAGCACAAATGTCTTGATACCTCAGGCCGTTAATGTTGCCATCCACTCTGCAGATTTCTCGCACACCCCCATACTGGATGTAACCCCAAACCAGGATTTTTCCTTCACCAAACTTGACTGATCTCTGTGGTAATCTTGGGTCCATGCTGGTTCCAATAGGTCATCTGCAGTATTTGTGATGACTGGAAGGCAGTTCAACAGACGATTCATTTGAGATCTTTGCAACTTTTCCAAATTATCAACTAGGAGTCAAGTTATTATTCGTTGCTTTTACAACTGGGATCGACGACAAGACTTTGGAATATAGATATATAGTATATCACTCAGCATGTGACTCATGGGAAGTCAGACTTAGTCTAAAGTGGAATGTTAAGCTACAGATTCACACAAAATCCAACATAAACTTCTGACTGACTGTTTAATCCTATTTCAAGACTCAATTTGAAGTGTCTAATTATACCAATTTCTTGTGTAAGTGACTGAATGTGTAAATTAATCGGCTTTGAGCAATTTGAGCCGGTGTTTGGATTTGTATTTCATTGTGGTTCTTCGTATGGCTGCTTTCACTCCGAGGCTTTATTTCATCAGCTTTATTCTGAATGATAACATATGAACGGCCTAATGTGACCGCACAGTTGGGAATCATTTAAAACATTGTAAATCAGGAAAACGCAGTGTTTCATGGCAGGAATGGGACACATGGTGTGACAAGCCTGTGCCAAGAGCATGTGTCGTATGTAATTGAGTGTAAATCTGCTTACATCTGCGTTCGCTAATGTAAGGCATATGAGAGACAATGAAAGTGGGTGTTGCTGGAGTTCAGAAGACCAAGTACTGTTGAGTTATTGCTTCTGAGATCTAGTTGAGGTTCTCTACTTTACTGCGAGATCCTATGGGAGCCCAACAGGCTATGGCTAGCTCAGTTCAGGGTTATATTTAGGTCATTTTAATCTGTAGGCCTGCAGCATGCTTTGATGTTGTCATTTGGAGTCGTATTGTACATCAGTGCAAATCCATTCTAATAAACTGCTGCTTCTCCCCAATATCCTCCGAAGAGCTTTTGTTAAATAATAATTATTGCTGCAGTCTTTTAAGCTTCTCTCTTTGGATTTCCTCGGTTTGGACGGGCGAGCATTCAAAGGGCTGGTGTCTGATTCACTCTTTGCGAATGCATATCATGGGGCTCGAGCGCTTCCATGGCTGGCTGGGCTCTTGTGCCCTTTAGGAGTTGTTTTTAAATTAAATAGTTGCACGAACTCATCAAGGCTTCTGCAAGTCGTTTGTCACATGAAGTACTTGCTTTTCCTGGTTTTAGAAGATGGATGAAGCAGATTGTGTGGGTTAAGTTAATAAAAGCAGTGGTTTGTAATCTTTTTTTAATCTTAATCATGATGACATTTTCAAGATACTAATAATTAGACAAGTCATTGTATAACAGCGTTTTGTTTTGAAGACAGTCGAGAAAAAAATAGCTTAAAGGGGCTAATAATTTTGACCCTAAAACAGTTCATAAAAAATTCTAAACTGTTTTTATTCTAGCTGAAACAAAACAAATAAGACTTTCTCCAGAAGAAAAAAATATTAGCACACATACTGTGAAATTTATTTTGCTCTGTTATCCATCATTTTGGGAAAAAATAAAAAATAAATAAAAAATCAAAGGGGGGCTAATAATTCTGACTTTAATTGTATATATATATATATATATATATATATATATATATATATATATATATATATATATATATATATATATATATATATATATATTTTTTTTTATTTATTAATATATTTTTTACTTATTTATTTGTTTATATATTTATTTATTTACTTATTATTTTATTTACATAATATTTATTTATTTATTTATTTGCTTATTTATTTACTTATTCATTTATTTACTTATTTATTAAATATAATACTAAAAATGCTGGATAATTTTTTTGGATTCAGTCATATTTTGTTCATTTTTTATTATTATTAGAACATTTTTATTTAATTTGTATTTTATTTAATAATAATAATAATAATAATGTTTTTACTTTTTTCTTTTAACCTTTTTATTTTATGAAGTACTCTCATTATTATTGTTGTTGTTGTTGTTGTAACAAATTTGCATGGATTGCTTCCTTCTGAGAAACGCTAAAGGAAAAAACAAATATTTGAAGGATGTAGTTGCTCTTTGACTTACATTTTTCAAAATATCTACAGCACTTTATGATTTGCAAATAAAAGAAAGTCATACAAAAATTCTAGATTTTTAGGTCAATTATGACTTTAAGCATGTTTGTTAGGCTCATAATCACTCCTAATTCAAAGTGCCTTTATATAATGGAGTTTTACTGTGTCTGTTTGGTAGAAATTGGACGAGTACGGAAGGACATGTACAATGACACTCTGAACGGCAGCACAGACAAAAGGACTTCAGAGCTCCCGGATGCTGTGGGGCCCATTGCACAACTCCAAGAGAAACTCTATGTGCCTGTCAAAGAATACCCAGACGTAAGTGTTGCTTAACTCAAGAGCAGTTTCTATTTTGGCAAAAGCTTCGAGTTTTTTTTGTTGGTCACATACTCTGCCTATTTTAAGCAGTCTCTAAAATGAGGTGTTTGGAAACATAGCAGCTTTATCTTTTGAGGTAGTAGCTACATTTACACACAGTACAAATATTCTATGATGCTAAAGGCAATACTTAACAAAACACATTTTGTCCATTTTATATTTGCATTTTTAACTTAAAGAATGCATGTTAGTACCTTAAAGGGATAGTTCACAGAAAAAAAGAAGACTTACTCACACTCAAGTTGTTCTAAATGTTTGAGTTTTTTTCTTCTGTTGAAAACAAAACAAGATAATCTGAAGAATACTGGTGAAAAAGCTGTCATTGAGAACATTCTTCAGTATATCTGTCTTTGTGTTCAACAAAAGAAGCTCAAACAGGTTTGTAACAAGTGGAGGATGAATAAATGATGGCAGAATTGTCTTTTTTGAATAAACGATCTCTTTAAGATGCTAATTGTTACTATTATGTCACTGTCTTGGACATGTGTGCACCATTTGTTTGTCATCTTAACACAATCATAATAGTAGCTTAAAAGGATTGGTCACCCAAAAAATGAAAATGTCCTCATCATTTACTCACACTGAGGTTTTTTTTTTTTTTCTGTTGAACACAAAACAAGATAATCTGAAGAATACTGGAGAAAAGCTGTCATTGATATCCATATTAGAAACAAAAATACTGTGGAAGTCAATGACAACATTCTTCAATATATCTGTATACCTTTGTGTTCAACAGAAGAAACTCAAACAGCTTTGGAACAAGTAGAGGATGCGTAAATGATGCCAGTATTGTCATTTTTGAGTAAACGATCTCTTTAAAATGCTAATTGGTACTATTATGTCACTGTTTTGTACATGTGTGCACCATTTGTTTGTCATCTTAACACAATCATAATAGTAGCTTAAAGGGCTTGATCACCCAAAAAATGAAAATGTCCTCATCATTTACTCACACTCAAGTGGTACTAAATGTTTATGAGGTTTTTCTTCTTCTGTTGAACACAAAACAAGATAATTTGTAGAATGCTGGAGAAAAAGGCGTCATTGGTATCCATATTAGAAACAAAAATACTGTGAAAGTCACTGACAACATTCTTCAGTATAACTTTCTTTGTTTGTCATCTTAACACAAACCGTTTATATTAGTAGTTTAGAACCTAGTACACTTCAACAAATACACCCTTGTTAGTTGTCTTATTGTAAAGAGTACACAATAGTAAGTAAATATGCTATAAACAGGCAAGTAATCATGCACACTTATATGCCTTTTGTTTGTCATCCTAGTGTTTATTAAACTCTAAAGATGCTTAAATGTACTAGTATGGATGCTTGTACACATCTTGTATGTCATCATACCCTAAAAAGATTGGCTGCGTCCGAAACCGCCTACTATTCAGTAGGTACTGCATTTGCATTTAAACATACTACTCGGCCGTTAGAAAAGTACCTTCTATACAGTATGAATGTGAAAAGTATGAATGGAATTCGGACGAACTACACCTGCCATTTTGTCGTGGTCACGTGACCTACCTGCGTCAGTTGAGTCGCTTCACTTTCATTTATGAATTCTCTCGCAGGGCATTATGGGATAGCGCATCGTGCATGGGATGTGCACTCCAGAATCTCGCCTGAAGTAGTAAGTCATCCGGGTACTTCTCGCATACTGATTTTCGAATTCTATGTATTCGGACATTCTACTCGGCTCGCATACTTATTTTAGCGTACTATATAGTATGGAATTATGCAGTTTTGGACGCAGCCATTGTCTTTTAGTATTATAAGATACAAAAAGGTACAATTAAAGGGATAGTTTACCCCCCAAAAATATATTTACTCACTATTAACTCACCTTCATGTGGGTTTTAAACCTCCATGAGTTTCTTTATTCTGTTGAACACTAAAGAAAATATTTTGAAAAAAGCCGAAAACTTGTAACCTTTGTAGCATAGTAGGAAAAACAATTACAACACATTCCAGTGGTTTGGTTCAAGTAAAGGGTGAGGAAATAATGACAGAATTGTCAATTTTGGGTCAACTATCCCTTTAAGGTCCTACTACAGTATGCACAGTTATTGTAATACTCTATGTACTAGGGGTAGGTAAGTTCAAGCTATTTCACAATACAAATCAGTTCTGTCCCTAAAGGAACAACTGCACAATGTGTTTTTATTTCTGCTATTATTTTCCACAGAATCAACACATTTATGTACATAGCTTGTTTTTTAGGGAGGAAGTAAAGATTTCTGTAGCTCCAATGAATCCTGAAATTGCACAATTTATGTTTGGCCCTCTCCCAAACACTGTTTTATCTTGTCAGATAGTAGTCTGCTCTTGAATCTGCATCAATGCGGGCATGTTTTTAAGGGCAAAGCAGCTGATTTATTGATAAGGGTACATGTCAGTGCATGCACATAAACAGAGAGAGACGTGTTCGTTTTGTAGAGTACCCAAATGCTAGAAAACTGCAAATTTGTCCATGAAAACACATTTATAGCGAGACTATTATCACAGGTGGATGCTCAGGGACAAACATGTTGTTTAGGACTTTGATTGTCTTACCTTAGATGTGTACTCTGGGGAGTATAAGGAGCCTGCAGCAGACTGATCCAATTAACTCATCTCTGCCAGGACGGCAATAATCAAAAGACAATAATTAGCGTGGTAAATATTGCTTAATACCTCAAGTTTAGGTGTTATTTGACTCCTAGCCTATTTGAATGCATCGTGATTGTGGGATTTTGTATGCAAGGGCAGCTTTCACACTCTTCTCGGAAAGCATAATTTATGCTGTGAGTGGATTATGCGAGGAGCCCAATCTGAAGCATTTGTATGTGAACCGAACAAACTGCTGGGATGTAAGTTTTCAGCGAGTGATTATCTGGCCTGTTTGATCTTGACCGGGTTTAGGGTTGAGGCTGAGTTTAAGGAGACGTTAAGTAGACGGAGGAGAGTTTCTGACTGTGGGCTTTCACATTTCTGCCATCTTAAAGAGCTGATAGGAGCGATAGCAGGGTCAGGGTTAATCGAGTTTGAATGAGAGCCGCATAACAGGAGCCTCTCTGTTATCTCTCGTTTAGTTATAATTAACCTCTGCGCATTGTCCTCTATTTCAGGGTGAAGTGCTGACAGCAAGTGTGTGAAATTAACTTGTTTGAAAAAGTATGTGGAAATTGGAACTTCTGAAATGCAATAGATCTCATTCGGATTCTGTTCTTGCATCAAGTAAACACGTTTAGAAGGAAGAAAAGCTGTTGAGTAGATTAGCCTGATGGATGACAACACACAGGAACTTCTGATGTGGTATCGGGTGTCTGGTGTATTAAAATGTGACGCATTTTGACAACCTGCTCAGAATTTGCTATTGTTGAGTGACTTATTGAGGTCAGATGCTTCATAAAGCGGCAAAGTCATTTGGAAAATCACACTGACTGCAGCAGTAGGTCTTGTTCATGTGCGACATTGCCCAATTATTGTGATTATTTAGACTCAACAAAAAGGTTTTTTTTCTAGCCTGTTGAGATGCCTAATTGGCTTGCCATCATTTCCACTGGGTTATTCTTTGCTAAAACATTTATAAAAATGCCTTGCTAAAATAAAAAGTTTTGCATCAGATTGCAAAAGGCCATTAGATTAAAGTAAAGTGTTTGGGTTAACATTTCAAATAACTTTTTGGAGAGAAAAAAAGCAAAAATGTAGGTGTGATAATGTGTCACCATTCAACTTAACAGAGATTTGTTGTAATTATTCTTGCATGCAATTTATTGTTTATTTTATACAAGATTCACACACGTATAAAATCAACCCAATCAATCAAAATTCAAGATTTTTTCCCTAATTAGAGCTATTCCAGGCATCTGGGAAAATTTAGTCTTATCGCAAAATACACTCTCTGGCCACTTTATTAGGTACACCAGTCCAACAGCTTTTTAACACAAATTTCTATTCAGCCAATCACATGGCAGCAACTCAACGCATTTAGGCATGTAGAAATGGACTAGATGATCTGCTACAGTTCAAACCGAGCATCAAAATGGGGAAGAAAGGTGATTTAAGTGAATTTGAACGTTGCATGATTATTGGTGCCAGACGGGCTGGTCTGAGTATTTCAGACATTGCTGATGTACTAGGATTTCTTAATCAAATAGAGCACCTTTGGGATGTGTTGGAACGGGAGATTCGCATTATGGATGTGCAGCTGACAAATCTGCAGCAACTTTATGCTGTCATGTCAATATGGACCAAAATTTTTGAGGAATATTTCCAGAACCTTGTTAAATCTATGCCACGAAGGATTAAGGCAGTTTTGAAGGCAAAATGCAACCCAATCTGGTACTAGTAAGGCGTACCTAATAAAGTGGCCTGTTAGTGTATATCGAAGAAAAAATCTAAGAAAATACTAGAAACCAACATTGTAATATACTTTATTTAAGACTCTCTTGTGCCATGTTGGTTAGTTTTGCTCTATTGTTTTTCCCCCAGCCCTCTCCTTTACATTCCAATTGGTCATTGTCTTTCTATAGATCATTTAAGGGCAGCACAAATCCTCATCTTGTTTGCAACCATCAATCATCAGGCTTGTTTTGAGAGTGACTTTGCTCCCCTGTAATAGAAGCAGAATTCAGATAATCCCGTCCGGGTTTCCACCGTCCCACCACCACCAGCGCCAACACGGAGGTCATTGGCCTTTCTGTCCTCTGCCGCCTTTCGGAGAGAATGATCCAGAACATTATCCCTGCCTGCATAGTCTGTGTGAAAACAAATGTGGACTTTGACGAGGAGATGGGACGGGTGGGGTGTGATGATTAGTTTTTCCATTCTGCATGCTCTCAGCGCCTCTATGTAAAGAGCGTTCAGAGACTGTCATCCTCTTCCCACTCTTTTCAGTCTAGCCGTCGTCTGGTAATGAGGTTTTCCGATGCTTCATTGTTGTGCATTGAGAG